CCTCGGACTCCACCCTCCCGCACACCGCCCGCGCCCGCTTCCGTGAGTACCCCGTCGGCCTCTGACGCCTCTTCCAAGTTTCTTGATGTCCCTTGCTATATTTTTTTCTGATGTTTTATTCCCTACTATAGTTCTCTATATTCTTTACTATATTTCTTTATATTCCATGCTATAGTTCTTTCTCTTCTCTACTATATTTCTTATAGTTCTTAATATTTCCCAATATAGTTCTTTATATTCCCTACTATAGTTGTTGATATTCCCTTCTAAAGTTCTCTACTATAGTCCTTAATATTCCCTACTATATTTCTTTATATCTCCTACTATAGTTCTCCCTATTCCCTATTCTAGTTCTTTACATTCCCAGTTTTAGTTCTTACAATTCCCCAATATAGTTCTTTATATTCCCTACCATAGCTCTTAATATTCCCCTCTAAAGTTCTGTGCATCCTCTTCTACAGTCCTTAACAGTCCCTACTATATCTCTCTATATCCCCTACTACAGTTCTCTATATCCTCCCCCTCCAGGCAAGCCGCGCATCGACCGCACCAACGTGAAGGACGTCGTGATCAAGACAGGTCAGCAGTACCTCTACGACATCGACGTCAGCGGCGAGCCCAAGCCCACCAACGTCTGGACCTTCAACAACAAGGTAAGTCTTCACGCTGAGAAACCGGTGCTTCGGCTGCCCGCGAGGCTACGACTCCAGCTAGGAAGGAGAGGGAAGGGGGTGTTATGCAAATTAGGTAGGCCTGTGGTAGGTTTGATAGGTTTCCGGGAAATGGTAAACAAGTTATAATAATGTTTTTTTCTTTTTTCTTTTTTTCGTATATAAGGGGAATAGGTCGAGGGTTGATACTTTAGGGGATTCACGATTGATAATTTTGTGGTACTCTATATATGTATATTGATTTGATTACTAGTGTTTCAGTACAAATAACTCGATAGGCTAAAAGATGAATGATTTGTAGGTGAGCATAAAGACTATTAAGTTCTTAGCATATTAGCATAGGTTTAAGGATATATCAACCATAACTGCTCAGGTCCTTGTAGGTAGTCATCAGTGAGTTCATATATATATATCATTACGGTCAGCTTGATATGCTAGTGGTCATAGCTTAGTTAGGATTAGCTTACTCAAAATTTTCGGCATTTTTATGACATGCCTTCTCTGTTAATTAAATAAACTGATTACTTATGCTTTTGTAGTTTCTTATGTTCTCAGTGCTTTCATATTGTGTGTTCTTTTTCATTATTTTTTTCTTTTCTTTTCCTTTTGAGTTATTCGTTTCACTTTATAACGTCAAAGGTTTAATTTATTTTGTATTCTTAGCGATTTGGTTACTCACATCGCTTATTGGCGCAGTTCAAGTATCAGCTGATTTGTTGATTTCACTCTAAAATGTTGCTACTTCATCATATTATCTTAAAGCTCGACTATAACGCTTCATTACAGCTTTAGTTAGCAAATGCTTCGGATTAGTAGTTATTGTCACAAAGCTCCTTGGTCTCCCTCAGTTAGCTGGCTCCACCTTTATTTCAGTTACCGTTAAAATAACAAGTCTGGTTTTCTACGTTCAACTATTTTTACATTTTCTTTTTTGGAAATCAGTTTATTTTCAATCTGTAATGTTGTTCATAATGCCCACGGTATCTAGTCTCCCCCCCCACCTTCCCCCCCAAAAGAAATCCCCTTTTGCTGGAACAATAAGCGAGTCAGTCAGGTGGAAGGAACAAGGATTTCAGTCCCAGGAGGAGCACATCACACACATCTCACACAGTACCGGAGGAAGGCGGATAGAAGGAGCATCAGTAATTCCCTCCCACAGTAAAGCTTTGCATTGGTGGGCTGGCATGATGTCTCTTAGCATGAGCACGCAGGCATCTCGGACCCGCTTTCCCTAGACGCGTTTACTTCTTAATCAGACAAGTGACGCTGACTTCTTGCGTGTCTGACGTCGACAAGACACTGATGTGCGAGCGCTCTTGCTGCCTCTGCTGACAGCGCTGCTCCTGGGCCCTTCGACGAGGGGACAGGAGCTGCGATGTCAGCGAGGAAAGCCTCTGTCAGATCAGTGTTTTGCGAAGGACATCGACAATGGGCCCGCTGAAAGAAAAGAGCCGTCTGGCATATAGCCAAGGTACACCCGCCAACGCAATGTAGACTGTCGATACAAAGTTCACTAGTGACTGTACGGGACTCGTAGAAATAATAATAAAAAGCATGTCTCACTTCCATTGGTGAAAGTGACGTATTAGCATGGCCATAAAAGACAGTATGTTTCAACCACAGTGCATCTATTTTGATGCATGCATTGTTTCTTTGAAATTTTATACCTATATCTATCTATACATTTACATATTATTATATATATATATATATATATATATATATATATATATATATATATATATATATATATATATATATATATATATATATATATATATATATATATATATATATATATATATATATATATATATATATATATATATATATATATATATATATATATATATATATATATATATATATATATATATATATATATATATATATATATATATATATATATATATATATATATATATATATATAGAAAGGTACATGTTAGCTCATTTTTCCAAGTGGAAATGAAACGTGAAAGTGCGTTGAAACATAAGCGTTCCTTTTGGCTGTGTCTACCAAGATGCTTGTGCACAACTGTGGACAATTATTCGGCACGAGCATGTATTGTACACAGCTAAACATGTCTGGTTACCTAATTAGAACTGAGTGTATGATTAGCATAAATTTGATCGATTTTTTTTCTAAATATACATAAACAAATGTCAAAATAACACATCTGAATTTTCCATTTTCCATTTTCACATCAAATTTCCCCATTTTTTAACACTGATTTTGTGAAATAGTAAAACAAAACAAAAAACTGTACCCTTAATACATAGCCCCCTTAATTCAACCCCTTTATATAAGTCATTATCTTTTTCAACCTCTAAAGAAAGTTTTACTGGTGGTGGCGCATGGGACGGAACTAGAGAAACTGCATCTTGTTAGATCTTTTCTGAACTAACTCACAGGTGCCTGTTGGAGATGGCGAAGTTAAAAAAAAGACCCTGCTAAATCATCCCAGGATTGGTGAGGCGGACTAGTGTGCTAATAGATTTATGGGAAGGAATTGAGAGTGAAAAGCGAGTCGTTTGCTGTTTGGGGTCTGAGATATAAGAAGTGATTTGTGTGTACACTCTGTCTGCGATCACCAAACCTGGTTTGTAAACTTCAGCAGTTAGCACGGATGGCGGCCATGCTTATGGTATTCATTGTTATTCATCATATTCTTGTATCTCTGTCTCTGTCTCTTTCTATGTCCCTATCTCTTGTCTCTTTCTACGTCTCTGTCTCTTTCTATGTCCCTGTCTCTATGTCTCTTTCTAGATTCCTTTTTTTTCTTCTTTTTCTTTCTCGATTTTTCACCGTGTTCTCGTCTCTACTGCCCCCCCCCCCCTCTCTCTCTCCCTCCCTCCCTCCCTCCCTCTCCCCTCTCTCTCTCTCTCTCTCTCTCTCTCTCTCTCTCTCTCTCTCTCTCTCTCTCTCTCTCTCTCTCTCTCTCTCTCTCTCTCTCTCTCTCTCTCTCTCTCTTATGTGAATGGATATGTGATGATGTATTACCTGTTTCAGTTAGTCTATCTTTTAATAAATTCCCCAGCTGACCTCTCCCTCAGATTTATTCATATTACTTTACAATCTTGCTTTATTTTTCACTCGAAATTTCATTTTTTCTTTCCTTACACTGCCAATTCTAGCATTTTCTTTTTTCCCCTTTCTTTCTATTCCTCTACTAATTTTTTTCAGCGGGTCATCAGTATGTATATATGATGTGAAAGCTAACACTATGGCGTAAGTACCTGTTCATGAAGTCATTGCATTCATTACTAACAAAGGTCTTCATTGCACCCTCTCACTGGCCGCCTCCGTCTTATCTGTTGCTAGTGAGTTGTCTAACAAGTAGTTCACACGTGGTAATGCTAGTTTTTTTCTCTTTCTCTCTCTCTCATCCTCCCTCCTCCCCACTTCTACTCGACTGCTCTCTCCGCGCCTCCTTCCTCTACTGTCGTGGCGGTGCTCCTGACGTGGCCTCGGCTGCGCGGTGCGGTCGGCCTCGCTCGCTGGTGGTCGTGGTGTGCTCCTGCGCGTGCGACTCGCCTCCGGTGCACAACAGCCCTTGCATTCTTTCCCCGAACAGGAGGTGCTGACGAAGGACACGATGCGCGTGGACTCGACGGGCAACAACACCAAGCTGGTCATCATGAAGGCGCAGAGGAGCATGAACGGCAAGTACATCCTCACCGCCAAGAACAAGCACGGCGAGGACTCCGTCGAGATCAACCTCACAGTCCTCGGTAAGTGACGCGTTGCTGGTTTTGTCGCTAAGATTATTGTAAGCTTCACGTGCTGTTCTCGTGTCCTATTTCCTCCGGACAATGTTTTAATCCCCTCCGCCTCCCTATTCCGCTGCCCCCAGGACCGCCAAGCAAGCCCATGGGCCCGCTGGAGGTCACCGACGTCAAGGCCAACGGCTGCAAGCTCAAGTGGAAGAAGCCGGAGGATGACGGCGGAATGCCCATCGACCACTATGAGGCAAGTGGCTGTCTGTTCGCGTAGACAAATACAGATCATACAGATCTATATATGTTCACAAAGCTGCAGATAAGGTCCTCATGCGCACTTAACTTCGTCCGTAACACTCGAGCGCTTCCTCCCGCAGATCGAGAAGCTCGACCCGCTCACCGGCCAATGGATGCCGTGCGGCGAGTCCAAGGTGCCCGAGTACGACGTCACGGGGCTCCAGGAGGGAAAGAAGTACAAGTTCCGCGTGAAGGCCGTCAACGCCGAGGGCGAGTCCGAGCCCTTGGAGGCTGACCAGGCCATCATCGCCAAGAATCCCTTCGGTAAGACCTCCTCTTCATGTTGCTCTTGATGTCACGCTACATGTTAGTGGGCAAATGTCATATATCACCGAATGCAATATACCTTGATATCGCTTCATGCATTCGATCACTCTTTCCAGATCCTCCAAGCAAGCCCGGCAAGCCCAAGGCCACCAACTGGGACCGTGACTTCGTGGAGCTGGAGTGGACGAAGCCCAAGTCCGACGGCGGCGCTGACATCACCAAGTACACCATCGAGAAGCGTGATGTGGTGAGTACTCTTGGCTTAGAGCCTTGCCTTTGGATTTAGTCTGGTGTCGGAGGCGCCATTCAATAGGGGCTTGATGGATTTGTGTATAATTACAATAGTAATGGCCTTTTAACTGTATACTGTTTCATATGTATCTTAGCTTTTGTAAATATCTAAATCACAAAGCGCAAGTTAGAAATAGGTCCCCACCTCGCACAAAGCACTTACCCCCCCCCTCCCCAGTCCGGCCGCGGCTGGACCGAGTGCGGCAGCGGCCCCGGCGACCGCCTCAAGATCAAGATCATCGACGTGGAGCCCGACCACGAGTACCAGTTCCGCGTCATCGCCCACAACAAGGCCGGCCCCTCCGAGCCCTCCGACCCCTCGGACAACGTCATCTGCAAGCCCAGATTCCGTGAGTTGCTTTCGCGTTTTGTGTGATATTTGTCTTCATGACTGATGGTTCATATCAGAGATACGATGTTTTATGGCGATGCATCTCATGTATCGCATGGCCATTTGAGGCAATTATTCGAGCTAATGATAATGAGCCCGATGCCCCGCAGTGGCGCCGCGCATCGACCGCAAGTCCCTGGGTCGCAAGACGATCCGTTCGGGCATCACCTTCAAGAACGAGACAACGGTGACCGGCGAGCCCGACCCCACCGTCAAGTGGTCGTTCAAGGGCGAGCCCATCAAGAACGATCGGCTGACCATAGAGAGCGAGGAGCACCTGACCACCATGATCCTGAGGAAGGCCAAGCGCTCCGACACGGGCATCTACACCATCTTCGCCAAGAACGACTCGGGCACCGACGAGGCCGAGCTCGACCTGATCGTCATCGGTGAGTAAGGAAGGACCTTAAGGCTCTTGTGACTATAGTAATTCCTGCTCTGCGGGGTTCTAAGCGGTGCTACCCATCCCTCTGTTGATTGCCCCCAAAGAAACCCAACCCCGAGGAATGAAAGGATTTCCTCAACTAATGATCTCTCTCCTTAGGACGTCCGGGCAAGCCCAAGGGCCCGCTGAAGGTGTCCGACGTGACCGCCGAGTCCGTGAAGCTCAAGTGGGAGCCTCCGGAGGACGACGGCGGCGAGCCCATCGACCACTACGTCGTGGAACGCATGGACACCGAGACGGGCCGCTGGGTGCCGGTCACCGAGTCCAAGGTCAGCTTCAAGGGACGAAAGCGGGGAGCAGGATGAACGAATATGTCTTGGATATAAATGGCTAAATCCCTTGACTCTCCTCCGGTCTGTTATAATATCTCGATGTGTTTCTGTCCGCCAGAGCCCCGAGGCTGAGGTCCCCGGGCTGACCGAGGGCAAGGAGTACCAGTTCAGGGTCAGGGCCGTCAACTCCGAGGGCGAGTCCGAGCCCCTGGAGACCGAGACGCCCACCAAGGCCAAGAATCCCTTCGGTAAGACATTCACCCGCAGTGCACGTGTGTGAATAGTATGTCTCTCTTACGCGTATACGTACACATGCACATGCACATACATATGCATATGTACATGCATATACACAGGCACATGCACATGCGCATACGCGCATATCTAAACACACTGTTACACATACACATGAGCATTCATTTACACATGTATGTGCACATGCTCATATATATAATATGCAAATGAACACGCATATACACATGCATATGGACGTGTACACATACACACACACACACACACACACACACACACACACACACACACACACATATATATATATATATATATATATATATATATATATGTGTGTGTGTGTGTGTGTGTGTGTGTGTGTGTGTGTGTGTGTGTGTGTGTGTGTGTGTGTGTGTGTCTATTTATCAATATAAAGGTGTATACATATATTCACATATATGTGTATGTATGTATAGATAAATAAATAGATGGATATGCACACACACACACACACTTATACATACATACATACATATATATATATATATATATATATATATATATATATATATATATATATATATATATATATATATACACTAGATACACATACACAAGCCTATGAGCACAAGCCTATGGGGTCGAGAGAACACGCGTCCTAACCCCGCGTCTCCCGCAGATCCTCCAAGCAAGCCCGGCAAGCCCGAGGTGAAGGACTACGACAGGACGTGGTGCGACCTCAAGTGGAAGGCCCCCGAGAGCGACGGCGGCGCCCCCATCACCCACTACATCATCGAGAGGAAGGACAAGTTCTCCTCCAAGTGGGTCAAGCACTGCGACACCAAGAGCAACAAGCCCGAGTTCAAGGTGGAGGACCTCACCGAGGGCCAGACCTACCAGTTCCGCGTCAAGGCCGTCAACAAGGCCGGCCAGAGCAAGCCTTCAGATCCTTCTGATAACTTCACTGCCAAGGCCAAGTTCCGTAAGTGTCTCTTACTCTTGAGGATCAGCGTCTGAGAATGGGTTTGTTAGGACAGCTGCAGCAATCTTTTTAACATTACGGAATCTATTGTGGTTTAGGATCAGTGTCTGAGAATGGGTTTATTAGAACAGCTGTACCTATCTTTTTAACATTATGGGATCTAGTGCGGGAGCTTCATTCACGCCCATTTCTTGCTTGTCCTCCGCAGTTGCTCCCGTGATCGACCGCTCCAACCTGGACGACATCCGCGTGCGCGCCGGCCAGATGATCAAATTCGACGCCCGCGTGACCGGCGAGCCCGTCCCCAAGAAGACGTGGTTCATCAACAAGGCCCGCCAGGAGGCCGACAAGGACGGCATCAAGATCGACGAGGAGGACCATCGCACCAAGCTGGTCATCCCGTCCTGCACTCGCGCCCACAACGGCACCTTCGTCATCAAGGCTGAGAACACGGCCGGCAAGGACGAGGTCGCCATTGAGGTCATCGTCCTTGGTAAGTTTTTCTTGCCGCTTCAGGCTGATTATTGTGCTGATACAGGGTGTATTATTTACCAGCTGCTGCAACACATATAATGTTCTCATTGAAATGTGTCCTTCTCCGTGCAGACAAGCCCGGCAAGCCAGAGGGACCACTCAAGGTGTCTGACGTCCACAAGGAGGGCTGCACACTCAGGTGGAAGGAGCCCCTGGACGACGGTGGCGCCCCCATTGAGCAGTACATCGTAGAGAAGCTGGACACCGAGACCGGCCGCTGGGTTCCAGCAGGCAGGTCCCGCGAGCCTAACATGGTGGTCGAGAACCTGGAGCCGAACCACGAGTACAAGTTCCGCGTGTCGGCCATCAACAGCGAGGGCGAGTCCGAGCCTCTGGAGGGCCTGGACACCATCATTGCCAAGAACCCCTTCGACCCCCCAGATCCCCCAGGCAAGCCTGAGCCCACCGACTGGGACAAGGACTTCGTCGAGCTCAAGTGGACCAAGCCGGCCAAGGACAACGGCGCCCCCATCACGGGATACATCATCGAGAAGCGCGACGAGGCCTCCGGCAAGTGGATCAAGGCCGCCGAGGTCAGGGGTCAGGAACCTAAGGGCCGTGTCAACAACCTGGACGAGGGCGAGACCTACGAGTTCCGCGTCCGGGCCGTCAATGAGGCTGGACCTTCAGACCCATCTGAGCCTAGCAAGCCAGTTACTTGCAAGCCGAGGAAGTGTAAGTATTGCAGACTCTTTCTTTTAATTTGTGCTCTCTCTTGTTGAGGTAATTTCAGGAGAAACAGATGTATAAATAAATTAGTCAGTGCGGTTCATATTCCCGACCCTTTCTAATGAATTCTTACCCAACAGTGGCTCCTAAGATCGATCGCCGCAACCTCCGCGACCTGACCGTCCGCGAGGGAGAGCCCATCCTCATCGACGTGAAGGTGATTGGTGAGCCCGTTCCTGACACCGAATGGTTCCTTGGCAAGAAGTCCGTCAAGGAGACCAACACCATCTCCATCAAGAACGTTCCTTACAACACCAAATACATCAACGATGAGCCGCTCCGCAAGCACTCTGGCGTGTACAAGATCGTGGCCACGAACCAGCATGGCCGCGACGAGGCCGAAATCAGCATCACCGTCATTTCCAAGCCTGGCAAGCCCGAAGGACCTCTCGAGGTGTCTGGCATCCACAAGGAAGGATGCAAGCTCAACTGGAAGCCACCTAAGGACGACGGTGGCGTGCCTGTCGAGGGCTACATCGTCGAGAAGTTCGACCCCGACATGGGCCTGTGGCTGCCAGTGGGCAAGTCCAGCCAGCCCGAGATGGAGGTGACCGACCTCACTCCCGGCCACGAGTACGAGTTCCGCGTGAAGGCCTTCAACAAGGAGGGCGAATCCGAGCCGCTGGTGACGCTCGCGCCCATCACGGCCAAGGACCCCTTCACTGTTCCTGGCAGGCCCGGAGCTCCTCAGGCCACGGACTGGGACGCCACGCGCATCGACATCAAGTGGTCCGAACCCATTGACGATGGCGGCTCTCCCATCACTCACTACATTGTTGAGAAGAGGGATAAGTACACGTAAGTATCATTCCTTTAAATCTACTCATCTTGCGATCTCACGTTTCTGAAGAACATTACCTATATATCCGCCCATCTTTGCATTCATATAACAATTTCTTCCCCTGCAGCAATCTGTGGGAGAAGGCTGGCGAGTCCGACGGCCCCGAATGCAAGGCTTCCATCACCAACCTGACGGAGGGCATGGAGTACCAGTTCCGCGCCATCGCCGTCAACAAGGCCGGCCCCGGAGAGCCTGGCGACCCGAGCAAGACCATCACCGCCAAGGCCAGATTCGGTGCGTTTTGGGTCCGATTTCATATTCTCTTTGGCTATACACTTGAAACAGGTGGTTGTTTAGAATTTCAGAGCTAATGATTCGATGATAGGT